AGGTATTTTAACAGTAGGAGCCCTTAGGGATTACCAGGTATTTTAACAGTAGGAGCCCTTAGGAATTACCAGGTATTTTAACACTAGGAGCCCTTAGGAATTACCAGGTATTTTAACACTAGGAGCCCTTAGGGCTTCAAGTACAGGTACTTGTTCTCTACAAGCCAAGTAAATGTGTACAAACCTGTTCTATGATGTGACTGGCTTGTTAGACCAACAAGATGATGACCCACTAATAGCTTTAACAAAGGATGATTATTACGTATGAGGGCTCATACATTCACAGGCATCTGTGTAGTAAAACACAGCCACCAAGGTACACACCTCTATCACAATACAGTAATACTCACACATCTCAATATATCAACAAACTAAATCATGAAAATCACAGGAGGACAAACAAACGGTGCAGTACATGTATACAAGTCACATGACCATTCAGCTAACCAATCAACAGGCTGTTCTACTAACGGTTAACAAGCCCAACTTGGATTAGACATCTCTCTCCAGACAAATGATTGGTAAAAAAAAACAAAAAAACAGGATGACCAGCTGACAAAATTAAATGACCACTCAGTCTGACCATTAACTGACCAGACTGATCAGTCCCTAACTACCGTTTTTTGCCAGTGTCCTCAGGTCCCTATAACAATAACAAGTCCTGTTGTGCCTCATAAACAAGCACATGACATTTATAAAGAGGATGTGATCACATGCTGTAGCCATATGGCACACTGCCAGGGGCCATTCCTGGGGCCATGCCCGGCACCATCCCTGGGTACTGTGCTCCATAGCCAGGCTGGGGCGAGGGTGCTTGAGGTGGTGGTATCATTGTTGCAGGCCCAGCTGTCAGCATCAGTTGGTTCTCCGCTACAATCAAGTATTATCATTAGCCTTATGTAATAGTCCGAACTCAAAAGTTAACAATCAAAAATCATACGACTTAATATAAAATAACATTAGTTAAACCCAACATACCAAGAAACAATACCCCTCCAGGCAAAACCTGGTAACATATCTGTGTTAGTCTTTCATGCCCAGCTATGTCATATGTCATATATGGTAATGGGATGGGGATCTCGGCCATTTCAATGATATGACCCAGGGACTAAGTCACCAATTATGGAGCTAGAGCCTGGAGCCTGGTAACTATGTCTCACTTAAAGTAAAAGGACAGGGATCTGATCCTTTCCATGGTATCAGGGGCTGAATCCATATGGCAGGAAGCAGACCTTGAGGTCAATCATGGTATCAACTCCTTCTTGATACTCAGCAATTGTATACATGATTCTGGGGTGGAGATATCAAATGTTACAAAGTTATGACCCAGGGACAAAGACTTCCAGGTGAGACCAGACTCTAGAGCCATCTTGTTAACAATACCCACACCTGGCGACTTGGACCCCCTACATGTGTATTTCTTAATTTTTATACTCAGCAATTGTATGGTTATAGGGCAGGGACCTCAAACATTTCCAAGTTATACTCTTGTTGGCCCCACCTCTCATCCCAGAGGTCAGCTTTTCAACTGGTACAATGTTGAATCCCCACCATCTGAGGATGTTTCCAAACCAAACATGGCTAATATACATTTCATAACTTCAGGAGAGAAGTGAATTAAAGAAATATGGCCTAGTTATTCCTTTGGTCCCATCCTTTAGCCCCCCTCGAGGGTCAACCCATCCATTTGTACAATTTGAATCCCCACCAACTGAGAATGTTTCCATTCAATTGTATGATGCCCCCATGGTGAAATGAGATAAACAGTATGTTGAACATCATTGATTCTAAGTATTTTTCCAAAAATGGTGAGCTGCCTACCAAATACAATGGGGCGGTCCTCAGCTTTCTGTTCCTCCTCTGATCGTACTGCTTCGGACTGCTCTAGCTTATCAACCTGTAACAACATCAGACCATGGTGTTATAAATCCTGTCATACAGCACAACTCGCACACAAAAGAATCTCAAAGAGTGTAAATTTTGTTTTATTATTATCACAGCAATCAAATTCAACAGTTTCTTCTACTATTCTTCCTTCAATGAATTGACGACAACAGATCTCACTTCAAACTTTCAATAGACACCAAGTCAAAGGAGGCAACAATGAAGAGTTAACAAGGGTAATTAAAAAAAAAAACATTTATCCTAGAAATTTTCCAAACCACCATTTTTACAGTAAAACTTACCTTGGAAATGTATTCTCTCACAACCTGTATCATGTAAGGCATGGCAAAGTCCATGATGTTGTGTCGCCAGGCCAGCTCTAGGATCACATCTGGTCTCAGCAAGTCATAACATTGAAACAGGCAGGCGGCAAAACATTCATGGTATTGGTTCTCCAGGAACCAGGCAATCAAATCCTCTGCTATGTCAATGTTCCGCGACTCACCCGCATAGCACATGGCATCCTGTAAGTATGTGTACACACAAAGTAAACAAATGTTTTTATAGCGAGTATTTTCAGATGGAAAGAATCAATGTGTATTAGATTATGCTTAATAAAAGTCTATTTTAAAACAGTTTTTGTTGTGTCAGTGAACTACCAAATGTCATCTGGACAACAACTTGTAATACCTTACTCCAACAATGTTAGAGGTTTTACACGGCGAAAAACTTTTGACAGGCGCCTCGTAACCTCTAACTGCCCATAGCTGATTTTCCCGATGCTGACCATCACATTTTCAAAGTTCGGATTAAGAAAGAGTGTATCGTGTTTACATACATTTAAATGGTCAAAAGGGTCCAATAAATATTCCTTTCCATAAATCCATGATTATATGAGAAAAATTTCGTGTCAAAGACATAAATAATGAGTTTTTCCTCATTCGAAGCGAAGCAGACAGCATTTGCCATGATTTTTTCGGTTAATACAAAAATGGATTACATGTAATGTTTCACAAGTGGAATACAAACAAACTCCGTATCATTTCGTTCCGTTTGAAATCTCCCCTGCTATTTTGTATTAATCCAGAAGCAATGTTTTAAATGTAGGTCAGAGATGTGCTACAACGACATGGACATGTATTTTGAGTGTTCTATTCCGTAATATACTATATATTTGTGTCTGTGACATACATATGAGATCTATATTATATATTCCGTGAGTATACATCGTTGTCATGAACTGTTAACCACTTAAGTGAGTTTTTCAAGCCGATTTTGTTCCGCCCGGATTTCGGGCGGAAACTGCATCAAAGAATTAGTGCTTCGGAAATGAGAGGTCGCAGTCGGCAAAATCATATCCGATTGAAAAAAGGCCGACCAGCGGCCTCTCATGTTATGGGAGTAGTAATACCTGTACTTGTAACAAGAGGCCCAGAGGGCCTGTATCACTCACCTGGATATTTAAACAATCATGGCAAAGTATTCTCATCAAAAGTAGTTTCGTAAAAGGATCCCAGGGATAGGGCAAGTCCCTGGGTCCAATCCTGGTAGCACAGGTTATCCAAATATTCATCCTCAGTGTTTTATGTTATATATGTTATGAACTTATGACCTAGGGACTATGCAATCATTTGTTGGGGAGACCTTAAGGTAATAGGATTGTGTCAACATTTCTCAGTAGAATTTCTTAAAATTTTGTAGTTATATTGCTTTGAAGTAAAGAAAATTTTCTGCCACAAAAAAATATAGGTTGTCAGAATTTTAAGGATTTTAAATGGAAATTTATGTAAAAAGGAGTGAATATTGAAAATAATAATGAAAAAAACAATTTTTGGCAAAATAATATCAATAAAAATGATACGGACATAGATTAGTATTGCATTAATGTATATCAATTTAATAAATGCTGAAATTGTGTAAAATTAATTATCTATAAACGATTAAAAATTGACATTTTATAATAAAACCATGTACACATAGTAATTGCATGTAAAGAGTTATCTTTCTTGAAAAACTTCACAGTAGTGAAATAGGTGGCAGGTTTCCTGAAGTACAGAAAAATGGACACATGTGACTCATTGATTAAAAAACAACTGAATTAATGCCTGGATTGCTTTGAAATACTTTCATATTGAGAGAAAACACTGTTGTGTCAATAATAAACATACAATATTCATCAGTTTGATATTAAACATTAGAATATACGGAAATTGTGATACTGTCTCCCTACATTGGATTTTCAACTAGGGATGTACTTCCTACTTCCATTACACTCCTATGACCTTAAAGACAATTCTAGTGGCATGATAATGTTCATCTCTACATGGGTTGGTGATCTGCACTATTTCGATGTGATTACCAAATGACTGAGTCCCCAGGGATGGGGCACACCCCAAGGTGATCCTGGTAGCAAATGAGTATTTCTCTTTTCATACACAGCAATTGTTTATATGGTTAAATGTTGGTGATTTCAAATATTTCAAAGGCCTTCTATTGGTACAATTTGAATTCCCAACACCTGAGGTGTTTCAAATCAAAAACGGCTGATATCAACCTCATAATTCCTTATAATTTCTTAAAACAATATGGCCAATTCACCCCTTTTTGGTCCAACCCCTCAGCCCCACAATTTGTATATTGAATCCCCACTACTTAGGGATGCTTTCAGCGAAATATTAAATTCCAAAATAGGTTCAGAAGAAGTTGTTTGAAGGAATTGTTGATGGCTGTTGGACACTATGGTAAGGTACAAGTTCAGACCTAGGGAGCTTACAATGAATTTTGATCTTTTTGACTTTGGCCATCTTTTAATCATTCAATGTTTTTATGAATTTTCAGAATTCTAACTGACAATTGAAACCTTTGACTGCTGGTTTCTTGTTCATATTACCTTGAAAAGCTTATCTTTTTTACACAGGTCCACCGACTGTTTCCAGCGATTATTGCCTTTGTAGAGGTAAGCAGCGATACGCCTAAACTCAATCAGCTCATGTTTCTCAAGGCGCTGAGCAAGGGTTATGTTGTCGAAGTTATCGTATGCATCAATGGAGGTGCGAAGGCCCTGGTAATCCTCCTCCTCAATCAGCAGGTTGTTCAACGCCTCATTTGTTGCTTTGTTGTTGTTCTTTTGCACTGCCCTAAGGTATGGCTTCACCAGTGGGATTTCGTTGACCTTGGTGAAAAAGTTGACTGCACGGGTGTGGTCCAGACGAGGAGTTAAAACCAGCAGAAGGTCATTGAGTAATAGTGGCTTGAAGTCGAGGTAGAACTGTACTGCTTTGTAGTACAGCTCAATGTTGGCCACCTTGGTTATAATGTCCTTGAACTGACTCTCGCGCCAAGCTGCCGTTGGGTGGCTCATCATTGTTATCACGGCATTGTCATACTCCTCATATTTATCATACAAGAATACGAGCTCTGGCCACAGATGTGCCTGCTCTGCTGCTCGTAAAACCTACACAACATAATGGAAATGGCTATATTAAGAGTGCTTGTAAAACTATCAAGGTGTTTCATTAAAAAGTACCGGATCATGTCAGGATGTTTATTTCTGTTTTATGTGATTATTTATAACAATACTGTGATGAAACTTGAGGATAACTACCACAATATCTCTTTGATAAATTTGAATTCTTTTCTCTCTAATACAAACCAGTGCATGTGATTAATAATTAAAATAAAATTGGCATTGCTGTAAATGTGTAAATTTTTGCAGTATCAGTGCTAAATATGGTGTTTATTATGTACAGTGCTGGATATGTTTTCCATATAGTCAAGGAAAGAATCAATGTGCTACAAATATAGGACTAAACTCCTAGTGATGGCATACTGTAAGGCGCTAAAATATGAGTACACTAAACTAGTCATGTTTACAATACAGACTTTATACAAATTGAAGTGCGGTCCTTTTTCGTACCTTTGGAATGTTGACTCTGGACCAGAATAGTTCTAAGTGCTCCCTCATCTTCTCCGGCTTGTATTTAGAGTATAAGATAGCTAATTCTGTAAACATACCCATATGGGCTCTTTCTAAACCTGAAAAACAAACATGTCAATACACTTAATTCAAAGTTCAAGTCACACTGATACAACTTAACAGCAACTGTTACAACTATTCGTTATTTTGACAATTTTGTCAATTGACATTTATTGTACAAAGAGACCTATTATACTCCTACAAATGTACTTGACATGGTTGGATGAGGCTAGAGAATACCTGGTTACCTCCTCTCACCCATAAACATCCCATGGGGCACCTCATGTTTGTATAACTTCTCTTACCCATAAACTTGTCGTCATCCCATGGGGCACCTCATGTTTGTATAACTTCTCAATTAAAATAATCATATGAGGTGGGATAGACCAGAGTTACTGTGTAACTTAAGTCATAGCTTTTTTCAACATTCACTGCATTAAAAGAATAATTAAAAACAATTAAAGGACAATATTTAAGAAATGTTATTACATTTTTATCATTATAATTCACATAATGACAGGGATTATAGCTTATTTACATACACAATGTAAGTCATACCTAATATTCATATAGTTTTAAAGCTGTTGTTTCAAAACAACTCAACTAAACAGTTACACATTGGACATGTAGCAGGAGAATGCCAACCTACCTAATGCTGCCTCAAGTAGCGATATGAGTTCCTCGAAGTAGCCACGGTCCTGGTAATAATTTATTAAATCCTCTAGCTCATCAGCATGTACTACTATGTGGAGTCCGCACATCTGGGCTAACCGGAACTCTTCATTGTTCACACAGGCAAAACACACCTAAACACACAAGCAAAGTTACTAAATACAAGTTATGGCCTACAGTCAATAAGTTACAACCTACCAATAACCATAGATAAGAGTCGAACATGCCAGTTTCTTTGACATAGGCCTATTTTTACGATTGAAAAGTACTTCTGGTGAATGATTATCACCTTGCATCATATATACTTCCCACTGTAATCTTGGTCACCAGTACTTTACACTGGATACAGAAACATGTCCGCGAAGGTGTTAACATGACCGAGGGCCATTTCATTGTTCTCGTATAGGATATTTTTTTACTTCAATTTATTAGTTGTAGTTTTGAATATTTTCTTAACGAACGGACCTTGCTTTATACTTTGAAACAGTGGGAAATTTGACTCATAAAAGTTTGATTCAGGAATAAATCATTAGTGGTGTGATTTAAGTGGAAAAGTCTGGACTTTGCCGTAAGTTGGACACATCAAGAAATTTGACTCATCAAAGTTTGCCTGTACATAATTGCTGGAGTTTGTGTACCTCTTTCCATGTCTTTGTACTGTTGGCCTTGCGTGCCCCATCCACAGCTCCCTGGTACTCTCCTAGGTGTACCAGGGTGATGGCTAGACGCGCATAGTTAGACACATTGTTATACAGCAATTTGGCTGCCTCGTACATCTGGTCGTCAAAGCAACGGTCAGCCACCTACAATGGGATTTTTTCATTTAGTTTGCTAGTAAAATGTTCACATTTTCTAAATACTATCACAGATATTTGAGAATTAAAATCAGTGTGTAGCAGATTTCTTTTATGTGGTGTATGAAGTATTTTATGTTAGAAATGGTCTTACCTGTGTAATATTAGCATGGTTTGGCCCCGAAATAAACTCCTCTAAATCTGCAAGTCTGTTGGTTTTTGCATAGGCATAAATAAGTTCCGTTTCTATGAATGTTTCCCGTGCCTTCTTTCTGGCCATTTGTAAAAATTTCACCAGGTCTTCCCAACTATCTGTTGATAAAAACAAAGGTACCTCCTCAATGTCAGCAACATCAATCAACGGGTTTCTTTTCAATTGTAAAATTCTTAAATTTAATTCTTTATTTGTTTAACGAAAATTACGAACAGCCAAAGGGCTACTAGTCGATTTCCTCCATTAAGATATTTCTATAATATATTTGTTATTATTTTTAATTAAAATATAGATTTACATATATTGCAACATTAGGCATTTGTTGACAAAAGTGTTCGCAGACATTCCTGATATAAAGTGTGCCCCAGACATTCCTGATATTAGGTGTGCCCCAGACATTCCTGATATTAGGTGTGCCCCAAACATTTCTGATATAAAGTGTGCCCCAGACATTTCTGTTATTAGGTGTGCCCCAGACATTCCTGATATAAAGTGTGCCCCAGACATTCCTGATATAAAGTGTGCCCCAGACATTCCTGATATTAAGTGTGCCCCAGACATTCCTGATATTAGGTGTGCCCCAGACATTCCTGATATTAGGTGTGCCCCAGACATTCCTGATATAAAGTGTGCCCCAGACATTCCTGATATAAAGTGTGCCCCAGACATTCCTGATATTAAGTGTGCCCCAGACATTCCTGATATTAGGTGTGCCCCAGACATTCCTGATATTAGGTGTGCCCCAGACATTCCTGATATAAAGTGTGCCCCAGACATTCCTGATATAAAGTGTGCCCCAGACATTCCTGATATTAAGTGTGCCCCAGACATTCCTGATATTAGGTGTGCCCCAGACATTCCTGATATTAGGTGTGCCCCAGACATTCCTGATATAAAGTGTGCCCCAGACATTCCTGATATAAAGTGTGCCCCAGACATTCCTGATATTAAGTGTGCCCCAGACATTCCTGATATTAGGTGTGCCCCAGACATTCCTGATATTAGGTGTGCCCCAGACATTCCTGATATTAGGTGTGCCCCAGACATTCCTGATATTAGGTGTGCCCCAAACATTTCTGATATAAAGTGTGCCCCAGACATTTCTGTTATTAGGTGTGCCCCAGACATTCCTGATATAAAGTGTGCCCCAGACATTCCTGATATAAAGTGTGCCCCAGACATTCCTGATATAAAGTGTCGCCCAAACATTTCTGATATTAGGTGTGCCCCAGACATTTCTGATATTAGGTGTGCCCCAGACATTTCTGATATTAGGTGTGCCCCAGACATTTCTGATATTAAGTGTGCCCCAGACATTTCTGATATTAGGTGTGTCCCAGACATTTCTGATATTAGGTGTGCCCAAGACATTCCTGATATAAAGTGTGCCCCAGACATTCCTGATATAAAGTGTCGCCCAAACATTTCTGATATTAGGGGTGCCCCAGACATTTCTGATATTAGGTGTGCCCCATACATTCCTGATATTAGGTGTGCCCCAGACATTTCTGATATTAAGTGTGCCCCAGACATTTCTGATATTAGGTGGGCCCCAGACATTTCTGATATTAATTGTGTCCCAGACATTTCTGATATAAGGTGTGACCCAGACATTTCTGATATAAGGTGTGTCCCAGACATTTCTGATATAAGGTGTGTCCCAGACATTTCTGATATTAGGTTTCCATCAGACATTCTGATATTAATTGTGCCCCAGACATTTCTGATATTAAGTGTGCCCCAGACATTTCTGATATTAATTGTGCCCCAGACATTTCTGATATAAAGTGTGCCCCAGACATTCCTGATATTAGGTGTGCCCCAGACATTTCTGATATTAATTGTGCCCCAGACATTTCTGATATTAGGTGTGTCCCAGACATTTCTGATATTAGGTTTCCATCAGACATTCTGATATTAATTGTGCCCCAGACATTTCTGATATAAAGTGTGCCCCAGACATTCCTGATATAAAGTGTCGCCCAACCATTTCTGATATTAGGTGTGCCCCAGACATTCCTGATATTAATTGTGCCCCAGACATTCCTGATATTAGGTGTGCCCAAAACATTCCTGATATAAAGTGTGCCCCAGACATTCCTGATATTAGGTGTCCATCAGACATTCTGATATTAATTGTGCCCCAGACATTTCTGATATTAAGTGTGCCCCAGACATTTCTGATATTAGGTGGGCCCCAGACATTTCTGATATTAATTGTGTCCCAGACATTTCTGATATAAGGAGTGTCCCAGACATTTCTGATATAAGGTGTGTCCCAGACATTTCTGATATTAGGTTTCCATCAGACATTCTGATATTAATTGTGCCCCAGACATTTCTGATATAAAGTGTGCCCCAGACATTCCTGATATTAGGTGTGCCCAAAACATTCCTGATATAAAGTGTGCCCCAGACATTCCTGATATTAGGTGTGCCCAAAACATTCCTGATATAAAGTGTGCCCCAGACATTCCTGATATTAGGTGTGCCCCAGACATTCCTGATATAAGGTGTGCCCCAGACATTTCTGATATTAGGTGTGTCCCAGACATTTCTGATATTAGGTTTCCATCAGACATTCTGATATTAATTGTGCCCCAGACATTTCTGATATTTGGTGTGCCCCAGACTTTCTATTGCTTTCAGTTTTAGTCTGGCCACACTACTTACTGTTGTTACTGGCCACGTTTACTACCTCCATGTACTCAGACGGGTCATCAGCCTTGATGAAGGAGTCAATGGCCTCTTTCACCAAACCTTGATTCAATTGAGCTCTGCCTAGCTGGCTCCACACTGCTGGGTCATTACACCGCTCAGCAAACTCGTAGGCCCGATCAAGGTTGTTCACATGGTCTATCAGAACCTACAGATACATCGAAAACAAATTAATGAGAGAAAATGTAAACAAAAATAAATCTCAGTTAAAATGTTTTTGAATGTTTCCTAAGACTACTTTGTAATGTACAAATTGTAGATTAATATAATATGGTCACATACATAAAATGTAAGTAAATATACATAAGGACCAACACACAGACCTTAATCAGAAAAATATACATAAGGACCAACACACAGACCTTAATCAGAAAAATATACATAAGGACCAACACACAGACCTTAATCAGAAAAATATACATAAGGACCAACACACAGACCTTAATCAGAAAAATATACATAAGGACCAACACACAGACCTTAATCAGAAAAATATACATAAGGACCAACACACAGACCTTAATCAGAAAAATCATTTGCAAAACTAGGAAAATTGTGGAATTTTATATCATAAACTGGAATTAAATTGTAAATAAGGAGGCTTTGTTGTGGAGCCCATCCCATTACATTGTCTGAATTACAAACCTGTATTGCTGATGTGTTGACCTCAAATTTCTTGAAGATTGCAAAAGCTTCCTCAAAAAGCTCATTACTGATAGCAATGTTAGCAATGTCAGGGGCATCGTAGTTGTCGAGGCGGTTAATATACTCCATCACTCTGGTACGGTCGGCTTTTATTGCTGTCAGAATCAACAGGTTCTGTAGATTTCTGTAAAAGCAAGCTCACAATAAAATAATGTTCATTATTAAAATGAGGGATTCAAAGACTGAGGTAGAACCAAATCCATAGAATTATTACCTCTCAATCTGCACGATCAATAGTTCACAGTTGTAATTACTCTCTAACAGCACGATCAATAGTTCACAGTTGTGATTACTCTCTATCAGCACCATCAATAGTTAACAGTTGTGATTACTCTCTATCAGCACCATCAATAGTTAACAGTTGTGATTACTCTCTATCAGCACCATCAATAGTTAACAGTTGTGATTACTCTCTATCAGCACCATCAATAGTTAACAGTTGTGATTACTCTCTATCAGCACCATCAATAGTTAACAGTTGTGATTACTCTCTATCAGCACCATCAATAGTTAACAGTTGTGATTACTCTCTATCAGCACCATCAATAGTTAACAGTTGTGATTACTCTCTAACAGCACCATCAATAGTTAACAGTTGTGATTACTCTCTATCAGCACCATCAATAGTTAACAGTTGTGATTACTCTCTATCAGCACCATCAATAGTTAACAGTTGTGATTACTCTCTATTAGCACCATCAATAGTTAACAGTTGTGATTACTCTCTAACAGCACCATCAATAGTTAACAGTTGTAATTACTCTCTATCAGCACCATCAATAGTTAACAGTTGTAATTACTCTCTATCAGCACTGTCAATTGTTAACAGTTGTAATTACCCTATATCAGAACTATTACTGGTGAATAACACTGTGACTTCACTCTGAAGCTAATAACATATAGCAGTTTATTTACGCTGGCTTCAACTTTTGCGATTTTCCCCCCCCCCCCCCCAAAAAAAAGAAAATTAAATTAACAATGTATGCTAATTTCGCGATCTAGAAAATGTGAAAAAAATCTATTTTCGCCGTCCTATAAATAGGCTTTATTACAGCTTATTGAACAAGAGTAAGAGTATTTTGATAAACAAATCATCAACCACTATCAGGTATGTCATATATTCTATTTCCAAACATCGTATTGTATTATTCCTGATGTATAAGAATCGTCATCCTGATGTATAAGAAACGTCATCCTGATGAATAAGAATCTTCATCCTGATGTATAAGAAACGTCATCCTGATGAATAAGAATCGTCATCCTGATGTATAAGAAACGTCATCCTGATGTATAAGAAACGTCATCCTGATGTATAAGAATCGTCATCCTGATGTATAAGAATCGTCATCCTGATGTATAAGAATCGTCATCCTGATGTATAAGAATCGTCATCCTGATGTATAAGAATCGTCATCCTGATGTATAAGAATCGTCATCCTGATGTATAAGAATCGTCATCCTGATGTATAAGAATCGTCATCCTGATGTATAAGAATCGTCATCCTGATGTATAAGAATCGTCATCCTGATGTATAAGAATCGTCATCCTGATGTATAAGAATCGTCATCCTGATGTATAAGAATCGTCATCCTGATGTATAAGAATCGTCATCCTGATGTATAAGAATCGTCATCCTGATGTATAAGAATCGTCATCCTGATGTATAAGAATCGTCATCCTGATGTATAAGAATCGTCATCCTGATGTATAAGAATCGTCATCCTGATGTATAAGAATCGTCATCCTGATGTATAAGAATCGTCATCCTGATGTATAAGAATCGTCATCCTGATGTATAAGAATCGTCATCCTGATGTATAAGAATCGTCATCCTGATGTATAAGAATCGTCATCCTGATGTATAAGAATCGTCATCCTGATGTATAAGAATCGTCATCCTGATGTATAAGAATCGTCATCCTGATGTATAAGAATCGTCATCCTGATGTATAAGAATCGTCATCCTGATGTATAAGAATCGTCATCCTGATGTATAAGAATCGTCATCCTGATGTATAAGAATCGTCATCCTGATGTATAAGAATCGTCATCCTGATGTATAAGAATCGTCATCCTGATGTATAAGAATCGTCATCCTGATGTATAAGAATCGTCATCCTGATGTATAAGAATCGTCATCCTGATGTATAAGAATCGTCATCCTGATGTATAAGAATCGTCATCCTGATGTATAAGAATCGTCATCCTGATGTATAAGAATCGTCATCCTGATGTATAAGAATCGTCATCCTGATGTATAAGAATCGTCATCCTGATGTATAAGAATCGTCATCCTGATGTATAAGAATCGTCATCCTGATGTATAAGAATCGTCATCCTGATGTATAAGAATCGTCATCCTGATGTATAAGAATCGTCATCCTGATGTATAAGAATCGTCATCCTGATGTATAAGAATCGTCATCCTGATGTATAAGAATCGTCATCCTGATGTATAAGAATCGTCATCCTGATGTATAAGAATCGTCATCCTGATGTATAAGAATCGTCATCCTGATGTATAAGAATCGTCATCCTGATGTATAAGAATCGTCATCCTGATGTATAAGAATCGTCATCCTGATGTATAAGAATCGTCATCCTGATGTATAAGAATCGTCATCCTGATGTATAAGAATCGTCATCCTGATGTATAAGAATCGTCATCCTGATGTATAAGAATCGTCATCCTGATGTATAAGAATCGTCATCCTGATGTATAAGAATCGTCATCCTGATGTATAAGAATCGTCATCCTGATGTATAAGAATCGTCATCCTGATGTATAAGAATCGTCATCCTGATGTATAAGAATCGTCATCCTGATGTATAAGAATCGTCATCCTGATGTATAAGAATCGTCATCCTGATGTATAAGAATCGTCATCCTGATGTATAAGAATCGTCATCCTGATGTATAAGAATCGTCATCCTGATGTATAAGAATCGTCATCCTGATGTATAAGAATCGTCATCCTGATGTATAAGAATCGTCATCCTGATGTATAAGAATCGTCATCCTGATGTATAAGAATCGTCATCCTGATGTATAAGAATCGTCATCCTGATGTATAAGAATCGTCATCCTGATGTATAAGAATCGTCATCCTGATGTATAAGAATCGTCATCCTGATGTATAAGAATCGTCATCCTGATGTATAAGAATCGTCATCCTGATGTATAAGAATCGTCATCCTGATGTATAAGAATCGTCATCCTGATGTATAAGAATCGTCGTAACCACATGCTCCCTATTTCATGATGACACTTTGATTTGGAAGCTTATTATCACAGCTAAATATTTCACTTGTAATATTACTCTGCAGATCATATTTTAGCTATCACATTATTGACCCGCTAAATTGCGAAAATATCATCCCCTCGGAGATATCCTGCTGTAATATTTTGTTAAAGAATGGGCTTAAGGGATATAACAAGATTCCAGTTCCCCAGACCAAATCTACTATCTAGAGGAAATATCCTAAAATCCCATTTATAGTTTTATTACCCATAAACAGCACACAAGCACATTCTAAATGAGAGCTGTTGGAGAACAGCATAGCTCTCCTATTCTTAATATATCTCTAAGTTAGTTAATAAAAATACACATACCTAACCTGTTATAGGTTGCTAAACTGGTCATCGTTTTTTGTTTTTGTGACAGCCATTTAAAATACGGGCTACAGTGAAGTTACAGTGTTATATATAGATGTATATCCCAGTATTACAATAACAACCACTTGTAATTAATATATAGTAAACAAAATCTTTGAAAGTTGCTCAGCATCATAAAATGTTCTTCACCAAAAGTACTCCCTTTTGGCCCCTGAAATGTATACAAATTTGATTTAGCATATTGCTTACACCCTATATCAATGTCTCAACCTTGTATATACAATAGTCAACAGCGTATCAAATGTGGTGAACTAACACTGCACAAAAACACCTGCTCACAAACTAGAACCAAGCACTAGCTAGCTGTTTTGACGTTTCAGGTTGAAGTTTTTGAGTTAGTTTTTTAGCTGTGTCAGATCATTTCAATAAAATGTCACAACCTGGAACAGATTACACGACATTCATGTGATCACTAGTTACCTGTGGTCACTGAAGACAGAGTTCTCCAGAACAATCTTTTCCAACAGTTCAATCAGTTCATTTGGAAGATCTGAGGTCATAAAAGCCTTGACTGTGACAGAAATATCCTCCGGGTCCTGTGTCTCGGACAGCGCTGTCTGGACCACCTACATCACATAAGCCATTATTATCAGGTTTACACACTAATCAGTCTACTCTTAGTATTAAAAGGGAAACGAAAACCCTCGTTCAGCAGTAACCACTAACCCCTGCACCTTACTCTGGAAAAGTTAGGCCTCAATATATAGTGTGAACAGGGTTAATTACAAGTGTTAGCAGTGCTTTTTAAACATAATTTATATTACATAGGGTTAAGTCATTAAAATCAAATATACAACTGACTACGAGGAACCTATGTATGAAATTTGAGAAAGATCAAGTCTACACTGACAAAAATCCCTTACCTGGTCAATCAGCTGGCGTCTGTATTCATTATCCTCCTGTAGCACCACTGCCCATAGGTCAGTGTCACGGCGACGTACCAGGTATCTCGCCTCACTCTTGAACAGCGAGTTCTCATTGCACACCTGGAGAACATTCAAGTTACATTAATGGTAGTGTATAGCTTGAGAAATAATAATCTTCAGCTGCAGACTTTTACATCTTGTTTCTGTACCTTAAGCAAATAAAAACAAAACAGCCTGATTGTACATATAATGGAGATAAAATAAACTGAACAAATACTAATGTAGATTGTGTGATGACTATAAAATACTAGAGACACGATATGATGTCTACAAAACACTAGAGACACGGTATGATGTCTACAAAATACTAGAGACACAGTATGATGACTACAAAATACTAGAGACACCGTACGATGTCTACAAAATACTAGACACGGTATGATGTCTACAAAATACTAGACACGGTATGATGTCTACAAAATACTAGATATTGTGTGATGTCTACAAAATACTAGAGACACAGTATGATGTCTACAAAATACTAGAGACACAGTATGATGTCTACAAAATACTAGAGACACAGTATGATGTCTACAAAATAATGGAGACAATTTGTGATAGGTCACTTGGAGGTCTCCAAAATTATGATATCTCAATAAAGCCATTTAGATTTTGAGATACATATTGTGAGACCCTCATTAAACATCAAATCTTATAAATTTTAGTTTGCTGTTTTATCGTATCAGCCAACAAATCCTATTAATTTGTTCCTTTGAGGACTCACCTTGATGAGTTCCATGTCGTTCTGTCCTCTTTCATAAGCTACACACGCCAAGTGGGGGTCACGCTTCTCACAATATTTACCCACTACTAAACTGTCGTAGAATTGGTTCTCTCTGTAAATACATGAACGTTTGAATAAATAAATGGCAGTCCCAGATATACATCAGTAAAACATTCCACTACTGTGGATGTGTCAGCAGTCTTGGTAGACAGTTGACAATATTTGTACGTTGTAATATTGTATGTTATAGGAGTGAAGACAGATGTAGGTAGTCAGTAGACCAGAAGTGTTTTATTCTCTCATTCCTATTACTGTCCACTAAATGATAGTTAAACATCAAACTAATATTACATCAGATTTGTTTCCCCCCAAAAGACAAAACATCTGTATAATATCAGAAAACAAGTCTTCACAAGTCAATATTGGGAAAAAGTTTTTTATTCTCTCTGGTACAAAAAATAATCAAAATCACTAATTTAACTAACGTTGAAGTGTAATATCTACATATAGTGTAACACTGAGTATTGGAATTTAAAGCATCACCAGACAATTAAGTACAATATATATCTGTCAAGCAGCCTCAGTGCTGCGTTACCAAGTTCAATCACATTTCTTCAAAGCTCAAAAGATATCATCCAAAAAGCAGCACCATTACATGATCATTCTTTCAAACAAGATTTTGGCACTCACCATCCTACTTTCTTCTTTGGCTCTATAGTTTTGATCTTATTGGATGGATTGAGTCATGTAAACACTAATGCACCTTATAGTAAAGTTAGATCAGAACGTCATCCAGTTGTGTATGACAGTATTCTTTCAAAATGAGGTTGTCATATGACCTATTTACTAGCATAGTAATTAATGTGTAACAAGGGGAACTTAACTTTGAAATTATAGAAAGATCTGTCAAGCATTTCTTGGGAAACTAGAACTACTTAAGCATTGAACTGTTTTTGTATGGTATTTATAATCTATGAGAATGACACAGCTTTGTTCTTTTTCAAATTACTAATATCTAAAATTTAAAAATTCCCGCCTTATCGACAGTTCACCCAAACTCGTTCAATAGTTGGAACAGTGTTGTAGCATGCTGATTGGCAAATAAAGTAGTACTTTGAAACACTTCAATTGTATTCCACAATTCAGTATCAATACAATTGCGTTTGAGATTTAAATTTATCAATAGAAATCTGAGCTGAAAATAAGATTTGAAATTGTTTCAATATTCCCCCGGAACAAATTTCGCGCATGGATAAATACAGTGTACACCGTAATCCGACCTTGCCCTCCACGAGGGAGTTATTTTTGGAAGTTGAATGAGCAGAAAGGAAAGTTCGAATTTGTGAAGAATCTATCGGAACCTGACTACAGTGAGTAGATTCTACAACAGCCTTGTTGTCGTTAGAAACTGAGGAAGCTGTGGCTGATAGACGCGTAATACTGATAGCGTTTGAAGTGAGTGATCTTGCGACAGAGCACAGGGGTTCGTTACAAATGTCCGAAATACACACATGCCTTGTGTATGTTATGTGTGCCATGACTCATATCAGTAGGTCTATAACATATGTGTATTTCAGACATTGTGACGAATCCCTGTGGATCAGTGCAGTGCAACAGACCATATTTCTGATAAATTGCATGAGTGTTACAATTTTTTCCATTGCCAGCATTGGTTATTTCAACCGATGTGCATTTTGTACGATATTGCAGATGTTAGTCTTGTATTTGTTGTAATAAAAGTGTTTTTTTATATAATTTCTTTTCTTTTACACAATTACAATTACATTGTCATGTCTCATGATGCCCAGCGATATTTCAGCAGCCGTCATGTTTGTTTACATTGTATTGTAGTTCCGGTCGGTGTTGTATTAATATGCTAAGAATAATGTCTTGTGGTGCATGGTATTTAAAGTCCCATCAACAACACAGCTTTCAAATAGCCTATATAGTGACAATGCTATGCAAATGTAAATATTGAAAAAAAAATTCCTTAATTTCTTGCAGCAACTATCATTCAACCAGACATATAAATGAAACCCATTTTCTCTATAATGAGTGAAAAGCAGTATCATTAATACTTCCACATTTTTTTAATGATTTTTTCAATTATATATACATTTTGAAATAATTTAATTAAAAGCAATGTGCATTTGTTACATTTTTACCAATGAAATATCAGAAATTACCTATGAACTTGAGTTTCTAGAACTGATGAAACATTTTGTTTGATTGAGAAAGCATTGCATCTCAATCATCTTTTAATTGTCAGCTGAGTGATTCATCGGTATTATCAAAAACTGCGAGTACTTATGGGGAAGGCAGCCCTGTGCTCTGTTAGCCTAATGTTAGATCTTGACACACACCTGTTACAAAATCGGCAAAGAATTGTCCACAAATGTGGTTCAACCCTTGAAATAAAATACCTTGGCCCAAATCTGGCTCCCTGGGTTAGTCCAATATGTACCTAAGGGGAGAAGGCTTTTGCATCGCTACTACCTGTTGACCTCCTGTTGTAAGCTAGGAATATCTACTGAACAGGTAGCGTATGTTGTCAAAGCATGGTTAGCTTTACCATTCTATATGGAAAAGGTCGGTTTTCAGCCGCAAACATATGAATAAATTACTTGCTATAGGACTTACCATAATTTTAACCTGTAAGCTTTCTAGTTATGTATCAACCTATGTGTTTTAATATTCCCTAACTCACCTGAGGAACCTCTCCGGGTTGTTGTTGCTGTCTATGTTAATTTTAGCTAGAGCATTGTGCGTGGCTGGTTCCTGAACTCCCTCATGGACACGCATCTCCAACCACGGCAGCAGCAGCTTCATCCTGTTTATAAATTCATTTACAATCATTAATAGCAAGTAGAACCTTTAAGATTATCTTCCAAATGTGATTACATACAATTTTCTTTCATGACATTTTCTTTTGTAACTATAGTTCCATACAAACTGAAAAGCTGTTGATAGATGTAAGTTCACATACGAAACTTTATGCCAATGTCAAGCAGCAAAAGTTTGTCTGTGGAACTGGTTTATCTAGGGCAACACTGAAGTCTATTACTATTGTAAGTAAGAAACAATTTGTGTTACCCAAATCTGAAAACTCATGGTTTATTCTGTACTTCAAGTGAGCTAAATTTCACTGAATAATGTCACACTCATTTGAAGAGATCAGTGATTGTTTAAAAGTGCCAGCTGAACTTGGATGAAGAAGTGGAACATTACAGTTGTGCAAAAATAAGTTTAGACTCAAAAGATCCCAATTTGTTTTGAGTATATTACACTGTTAGTGTACATGTTATTTTGAATGAACTAAACACAACAACTTTACAAATGAATATCACCTCAATGAATGAATTAGATAATATAACATTAAATGATTTTACAGAACTGCTATGGACTAGCACATCTTTGAGTGTCACTACCTTTATAAGAGTGTGCTAATCAAGTGATTTACTGTTGGTGTGGAAGGGAAACATGTGTTAAACAAGCTGATGTAAGTTCACATACGAAACTTTATGCCAATGTCAAGCAGCACAAGTTTGTCTGTGGAACTGGTTTATCTAGGGCAACACTGAAGTCTATTACAATCATCAGTAGCAAACAATTCATGTTTCCCAAATCTGAAAACTCCTTCTGTCAAGTTTAAAAAACTGTATCATTTTAAAAGAGGAATTTATTTTTGCATTTATCGAAATGTATTTTGAAACATCCTGTAATAATTGGCACACTATGAAATGTACATTGTGGCAATATTGTCAATTAGAGGCCTTTTATAATTGAATCAAAACTCTGTATCGAAATTTGCCACAAATACTGTACAAGTGAACAAATTGTACACAGGGACAATTGTATTTAAACATTTCTGTAATTTTTTTGACTTGTGTCTGTGACAGGTGCCATACCAGTGGTGTTCAGAGTTTATTTTTACAATTTCTTAAATGCTGGTGACCGATGTCTGTGTCCATTGTCTGACAGGTGCCCTACCTGTTACGCTTCTCTACCTCCTCCACCAGCTCGTCAGTAGAGAACTGTCCTTTCACAACAAGGATCAGCTGTTTGATGACGTCTTCCCCACAGTCAACATCAAGGAGTCCACCAATTACAACCGGGAGCCGGGCAGGGTTTACCTTCTGTACATAGATCTCTATGTACTTTTGTAAGCTATTGCGGTACAGGTAGAGAACCAAGTCATGAACAAAGTCAAAGCGATCACACACAATGATCAACGGCAGCTGGTCCGTAAGCTTGGCCTCCTAATAACAGAAATCATTACATCGCTATTGTATAAGACAGGTGTATTTGGATGGCTATAACTTAATCTTAATTTAGTGAGGAAAAGACGATTCAATTTTTTAATTCATAAAGCACATTCTGATATTACCAATTAATTAAAAAAATATTCCACACTATTTTTGAATATGGTTAGCATTTGTACACAACAATTTTTATCATGAGCTCAGTATGTCTTCTACAGAATTACAGCTACTAAAATTATCAGCTGAAAATGTTCAATGTAAATTAGTTAATATGCTAAGGGATGTCTCGGAAGTGGGGGGTATTGATTTTTTTCTGGGTGGTTGGCAGTATGTTTAAGTATAAATCGATATTTATTGGTGGTTCGACAACTTCAAAACCCAGAAAATTAAATTGTGTAGGTCTAACAGAACTAGAAAATTTACATGTCAGTTAAGTGTTTTAAATAAAGTAATTGAATTCGTGGTTTATTCTGTCCTTCAAGTGAGCTAAATTTCACTGAATAATGTCACACTCATTTGAAGAGATCAGTGATTGTTTAAAAATGCCAGCTGATCATGAACATGGATGAAGAAGTGGAACATTACAGCTATGCAAAAATAAGTTTAGACTCAAAAGATCCCAATTTGTTTTGAGTATATTACACTGTTAGTGTACATGTTATTTTGAATGAACTAAACACAACAACTTTACAAATGGATATCACCTCAATGAATGAATTAGATAATATAACATTAAATGATTTTACAGAACTGCTATGGACTAGCACAACCTTGAGTGTCACTACCTTTATAAGAGTGTGCTAATCAAGTGATTCACTGTTGGTGTGGAAGGGAAACATGTGTTAAACAAGCTGATGTAAGTTCACATACGAAACTTTATGCCAATGTCAAGCAGCACGAGTTTGTCTGTGGAACTGGTTTATCTAGGGCAACACTGAAGTCTATTACTATTGTAAGTAAGTAACATTCCAGTATCGCCCATACATTTTATTTATTAATTATTCAGCATTCCGCTATGTATAAAGCTCAGAAATATTGTAGATATTATATATTATTATAGACAGCTTACCTTGAGGAAATTTTTCACCCTCTCTGGATCATAACAGTTACTCTCGCGACAGATTCGCTCCACCTCTTTGATCTGCCCAGTCTTACAGGCAGCCTGGATGTACTTAAAATGGACGTCTGTGTCCTGACTGAAGTTAACGATGGATCCCAGGAAATAGAAGAGACCTGAAGAGCAAATTGTTTTGACGACATTTTATACTGTTAACCTCAAACAAGTCTGCTGGACTTTGTGTAGAGGGCACTTTTCTCACATATTTCACAGGTGCATTCCTGTTTTTGCTAGGCAAGATATAAGACTGCCTTATCGTCGTGCTAAACTTCTAAAAATCTTACGCCCGGATGGAGATTTAGGACTCTGTTAAGTTGTCATTAGTGTTAAGTTATGACTCTGTTTAGCTCCAGTATTAAGTAAGGACTCTGTGTTAAGCTCCAGTATTAAGTTAGGACTATGTATTTAGTTCCAGTATTAAGTTAGGACTGTGTTTAGCTCCAGTATTAAGTTAGAACTCTGTGTTTAGCTCCAGTGTTTAGTTAAGACTTGGTGGTAAGCTCCAGTTGTTTTAGCAAGACTGCGTTTTTTCCAGTTATTATAGTAAGACTTTGTGTTAAGTTTTAGTTAGACTTTGTGTTTATATCCAGTTTTTTAAAGTAAGACTTGTGTTTAGCTCCACTTTTTTTTAAGTAAGACTTGTGTTTAGATCCAGCTTTTAGTTAAGACTTAACATGAATGAAAAATAAAATAAAAAAAGGAATTGAGGAAAAACAAGAGGGAGAAAATAACAATAAAATTCAACATTTTCCTCAAATTCAAAAGAAATACCGGGTACTTTTACTTTTAACATCACAAATAATAGTAATGCGGGTCATCATTGCGACTCACCTTCAAAACTTTTAAAGGACTCGAAGATCTCTATGAGTGACTGTGTGCCTAGCTGCTCATGGTATTTGGTGGCTATCTGTACACACACTTGCAGGTTCTGGCGGATGTTTGCCTGCAGCATGGCCTTCAGACATTCTAACGAGTCCTCTATAGACAATGAGCCAAAGTAGTTCACCAGCCACTGTAATACAAAGTTTTTACTATCTTCAGACAAGTTTTCTTACATAGAATTTTAATACTGGAATGTCAGTGAAATTTAAGTTTCGGAGGGGTTAGATGGCATAAAGCACATTCACCAAGACAGATGGGACTTTATGCCCCAATCAGTGTTAAAAGTCCTCATTACGTAGGGGTTCTCCAGTTACCATGGTTCAGACCCCGTTCAGACCTCCTGTGTGCTTTTATCCAGGACAACAAGAAAAGTCGATAAAATCTCCCTAAGGACCATATTTTACATTGATAGAACAAGGTTACTGCGAATGGTGCGACTTACCTCTGGGTTGAGGAGATGGGTGTGTACGACTGCCCGCTTGATGTCATAAAGGTCTGTGTAGTGTTCCAGGGCCTACAACATTAATTAACACTAAACAGTCACACAAGTTACAAATAATTGTCTCGTTATAATGACAAGATTACCATATAACAGACTCCAGAGATTTTCATTAGCTCCTGTCTTGTTATAATGACAAGATTACCATATAACAGATTCCAGAAATTTTCATTAGTTCCTGTCTCGTTATAATGACAAGATTACCATATAACAGACTCCAGAGATTTTCATTAGTTCCATCACAGTTTGATCTTTTCCTTCATTTCTCTTCTTTGTTTTGTGTTGGATTTATGCTCTTGTCAACAGTAAATGCATCATAATCAAAACTTCTTACAGCTTGGATTGATATTTTTATTTTTGAAGTGAGGTCATTGTTAATTTTTTGAGAAATATTGATAACAAACTTGAACTGTCAAAATCCAAGATGGCTAACTGGTTGCCATCTTGTTTTCTCCAATCAGTCTAAAAAGAAATATCCACAACTATGGACTACAGGGAACCCATTTATGAAACATTAGAAAGACATGTCCAGTATTTCTTGTAGAATAGCAATAACAACCTTGAATTGTCAAAATTCAAGATGGCTGGCTGGCTGGATGGCAGGCAGCCATTTTGCTTTTGTGATCAGTCCCAAAATGAAACATACACAACTAGGGACCAAAATGAACCTTCATATGAAATTTGAGAAAGATCAGTTCAGTACTTCTGGAGTAATAGCAATAACAGGAGCCTTTTTAACGACAGACAACAGACAGATGGACCACAGACCATGGATTACGGGTGATTTGAATACCCACAATCTGATGATGTTAGGCTAATAAGAATGGTATATCCAGGGAAGTAAAAATCTACTTGCCAGAAGTGAGTGGCTAACAGAATGTCAGCTTGAGCTTGTGAAAATTGCAGGCATACTAGCCTGGGGCTAGTGACTTGTTTATCATGTTTTAACTCACACAGATGTTTTTGTTCAATTTTATCACCATGACTGTAATCAATTAACGTTTTAAACCTGTAAATTGCTGGTACTTTTTACCACAGTATCTATGTGAACACACAGAGTCCTTCATGTCACATTGGTGATGATAGACCTATTGCTATCGTATGTGTGTTAAATGTGCTAGTATGCCCTAGGAACTTTGAAATTCAACACTTATTACCAAAATGGCCATATTTGTTGCAAAATAAATCTCTTTTAATTTGATATAATCATGTGGGGTACAGAAATAAAGTACATCTTTCCAACAATCAGCAATAATCGTACTGTCCATCCTATTGGTTTCACTAAATTCTCGTACTTAGAACAAGTATCCAGATTGATTTTCAGAAGCAGTGAAGAATTTTTAGTTTATCATCATTTAGTTTAAGGCAATCATCAGCTGAGGTAAGTAACACTGTTGGATAAAGTTGCATTATTAGTGTCTACTGGCCTGGAGCTAGTATCTGAAAACATGTAACACCCTTGAAATCTCTAGAAAAATTTATCAATATTAGTTATGGTCTGTACACAATTGCACAAGATGATAAAAGATATAAGATTTTTTGAATCCAGATGAAATCCGAGACAAATTACCTGAACAAGATCTCATTGAAAAAGTAAGTACCGGTACATACCATCACCAATGATAAATGGCTACCAGTTTAGCAATTTGTAAGCAAGTGACATTTAGATTCTGTTCAGTGAGGTTCTAGACCTTTATAAGTCCTGCCTTCAGTCTATCAAAAGTACTTAGTGTGGGAGTAAGTGATTATTAGTTATATGGTTTGTTACCGACCTACTATGGAACCATAGAGGGTCAGTAATTTCATACGGGGTTCGGCCAAGTAGGTCAGTAACAAACCATATAACAAATTTATCGCACTGAGGACCTGTTATACCACCTTTTGATATGTACACCTGGGACATATTTTGTCCTGCTCAAGTACCTATAATTAATCTAAAAACTGTATAACTTATGAACTGTTAAAGATAAAGGCTTCATATTTGGTATGCATACTCAACCAATGAAGTCCTTTACATAACCCCAAAGGTCATGACTGTGACCTTGTTACATTTCAACGTCTTCTCTGCGTGAATCTTCTTCCTTTTTTCTTCAATTTCTACTCGGGTCGCCGAGACACTTTCAAATAGTACCTGATGTCAACTGACCGCCTTTAGTCTCATAGGGGGTCACAACGTGACCCGATTTTAACCTACCAGATGCGACAATTCTATACGAGATGCGTAAAGACCTGTTATCAGTCAGTTTGAATCAGTGATTTTTCTACCACTGTCTGAAATGAGCCTGTGCCTATGAACGTGGAATAGTATCACACAAAAAATACAGTAAATTATGCAGTGATTTTGGGGGAAAATACAAGATTTCTCAAAGAAAAGAGGGCTTATAAGATCCAATATGTAGACCTACCCTTTGTAGAAGTCCTGCCTTCTCACACAGCTGGGCCACATGGGCACGGTCGTAGTGAGTAAACATCTGATTGCCGAGGATGGCATCTGCCACCTGTAATAGTTCAATACTACATTAACACTCTGTCATATGATAACAAGTCTATTTCCCCCTCATTTTCAAATTCATCTGATAAACTAAACATGTGTTAAGTAAACATTTTGTCCATCACAAGACGGAAGGTTTACAGTTTTATGTCATAACAGTTCTTTCTTTATTAGTTCCGTCTGCAAAATCAGTTTTAAAATATCTAATTAAACCTTGAATGAGTTAAGAGGGATGAGTATTCAGGGATATACAGGAACAAGGGTCGGGGTGGAGTAAAGAGAGATGAGTATTCTGGGATATACAGGAACAAGGGTTGGGGTGGAGTAAAGAGAGATGAGTATTCAGTGATTTACATGAACAAGGGTCGGGTGGAGTCAAGAGAGATGAGTATTCAGTGATATACAGGAACAAGGGTCGGGTGGAGTAAAGAGAGATGAGTATTCAGGGATATACAGGAACGAGGGTTGGGGTGGAGTAAAGAGAGATGAGAATTCAGGGATATACAGGAACAAGGGTCGGGGTGGAGTAAAGAGAGATGAGTATTCAGGGATATACAGGAACAAGGGTCGGGGTGGAGTAAAGAGAGATGAGTATTCAGGGATATACAGGAACAAGGGTCGGGTGGAGTAAAGAGAGATGAGTATTCAGGGATATACAGGAACAAGGGTCGGGGTGGAGTGGTTCATCTATTTCTGACCTCTAGCTGTGGTCTTAAAATGTAAGATATTGTTCTTATCACAACAGCCCTTGGCAAGAACATCACCTGTGTCCACATCACTTTATCAAAAATAAAGAGCAGATGGCAAGGAAAACACCATGATAACACAGGAGTTCTTAAAAATACAAGTTACCTGTGGAGCAGACATAAGATTCATTTCTAAAAGTCTGGTCTGTAGGGGTGCCTCTGCAGGCCGGTTGTTCTTCAGAGCATCCAACAGAAAGGAAGTACACTGCTGAATCAGGTTGAATTCCATGAAGACATCCACAATCTGTACAAAAATATCACTGATATATAGTGTTATAGACACTGGACACAATCTGTACAAAATATCACAGATATATAGTGTTACAGACACTGGACACAATCTGTACAAAAATATCACAGATATATAGTGTTACAGACACTGTACACAATCTGTACAAAAATATCACTGATATATAGTGTTATAGACACTGGACACAATCTGTACAAAAATACCACAGATATATAGTGTTACAGACACTGTACACAATCTGTACAAAAATATCACTGATATATAGTGTCATAGACACTGGACACAATCTGTACAAAAATATCACTGATATATATAGTGTTATAGACACTGGACACAATCTGTACAAAATTATCACTGATATATAGTGTTATAGACATTCGATCTAAAAAGGATTGTTTTACGGTAGTACAGTATTTCTGTGCAGCAAAATGACTCTGTTATGAAGAAGTTAAGTCATTTTTTATTCAAAAAACTTAGTACATGTATATGATCCTCTGTATCATCAGATCTAATGTAGTTCATACAATTTGCCATTTTGAGATTACATACTCACAATGTTTTTACAACTTTAATACAGTGGAACCCGCTTACCAGTATTATGATATTCTATTTGCCAGAGAAAAATATTATAATAACCAATATATTATAAAAAAAAAACTCAAAACTGTTTTCGTTTTTTGGTTGTCTGAAACAAAAGTGAGATGCCCTATGATTGTCAGACACATATAGATGTGGAATACGGGAAGTTATTAATACAAATTGATATTGTAGTATTTAAAATGAATTGTTACTTATATCAGTGTGTTGGAAAAAATTTGAACAAGAGGCCCAGAGGGCCTGTATCGCTCACCTGAATATGTTTAAAATAATTGGTATGAAGTAGGTGCTGTAAGTAAATATGAAATTTCAGAAAGATCCATCCAGTACTTGAGATATAGCGAGAACAAACTTCAAACAGAGCCCCACCCCTATATGCAACTAAGGGGGGTCATACCAACCAATTATACAAAATTGAGTCCCCTTGACCCAAGGATGCTCCAGACTAAACAAGGAAAAAATCGCATAATCCTGATGGTCGAAGAAGGATTTTAAAGGTTTTACCTCTATTTCTCCTATTGGGCCCCGCCCTTCTGCCCCTTGGGAGACCACACCCACTGCATGCTTATACAAAATTGAGTCCCCTTGATGCTCCAGACTAAATTAGGATAAAATCCCTTATTCAATATGGTAAAAGAAGGATTTTAAAGGTTATACCTATGTTTCCCCTATTGGGCCCCGCCTCTCTGCCTCCAGAGGGGTCAAGACACACTGTTTATACAAAATTGAGTCCCTTTTGCCTAAGGATGCTCCAGACTAAATTAGGATAATATCCCTTAATCCCTATGGTAGAAGAAGGATTATAAAGGTTTTACCTATATTTCCCCTATTGGGCCACACCCAACGTTTATACAAAATTGGTTCTCCTTTACCAAAGGATGCACCACACCAAATATGGAACAAATCCTTTCATTCCTACAGAAGAAGGATTTTAAAGAATTTGCTATATTTCCCCTATTGGGCCCCGCCCCTCAGCCCCCAGGGGGGCCAGACCCACCATTTATACAAAATTGAGTCCCCTTGGTCTAAGGATGCTACAGACCAAATTTAGTCCAAATCTACTGGGCCGTTAAGGACAAGTAGCGTTTTAAAGGAAAAGTTGACGGACAGACGGACGGACGCTGCGCCATGGCATAAGCTCACTTGCCCTTCGGGCAGGTGGGCTAAAAAGTAGCATTTTACTACATCCTAGCTAACAATACTGTACTAGTCAATACAGTGAAAGAAGAGATATAAAAAGGCATGATTTACCGATTTCGCAATGAAAAAATTGTGTTACATTTTCCCCATAATCGTAATGATATTTTGCCGAGCTTTAACGATTACAATCACATGACAATCACATGCCTTTTTGTCAGTTCATTACGACAACTGCTGTCTGGACGGATTGCCCAGATTTTGACACTTTTTTAACAGAGACCCAGGGGAAATCAACTTGCAATGCATAAGAGAAACTATTGTTTAAATGATTAAAAACAAACCACTTCCTTCGGATGTAATATTTTCATTGAAATCAGCATGGTTTTCTTACATGCCATGTCAAGGTAACCATGGATACTCATAAAATGAGTGCTAGGCCTAATCATTGCCATTTAATACACAGTCCTAGAGTGTATTTTAAATAGCAATGAACGCAGACCTAGTGAACTGTTGTACACTTCAGCCCAAACACTTTAAATTGGTAATAATCTTTATTACTGGGAAGTGGAAAGTTTACCTGATAACCTGACGATGTAGGATATTCTATGCTGGATGTTTACCTGGTTAAGATCTGCTAGTGGCTCATCATCTTGTACTAACATCTGGGCGAACTGTAGGCCTTGCTCTGGGTTCATCCTCATGATGTTACGCAGGAGGAATATAAAATCAGGGGTGAAACCCACTTTTTTAGCATACAACACAATTTTCTGGAATTGTCCCGTCTCTGCAAAACACTGGATTACCTGTAAAAACATTTGGAAGTCTATAAATAGACTTATTTGATTTTAAAAAAACATTATGAAGGAGGATTCATTCAAAGCTTTAGTATCTTGGTTACAGACTGTACAACCATTACAATAGAACCTGAACAGTGGATTGATACACGTGTCACTTCTATAGTCTGATGTGTTGAACTACATGTGTCACTTCTATAGTCTGATGTGGAGAACTACATGTGTCACTTCTATAGTCTGATGTGGTGAACTACATGTGTCACTTCTATAGTCTGATGTGGTGAACTACATGTGTCACTTCTATAGTCTGATGTGGTGAACTACATGTGTCACTTCTATAGTCTGATGTGGTGAACTACATGTGTCACTTCTATAGTCTGATGTGGTGAACTACATGTGTCACTTCTATAGTCTGATGTGGTGAACTACATGTGTCACTTCTATAGTCTGATGTGGTGAACTACATGTGTCACTTCTATAGTCTGATGTGGTGAACTACATGTGTCACTTCTATAGTCTGATGTGGTGAACTACATGTGTCACTTCTATAGTCTGATGTGGTGAACTACATGTGTCACTTCTATAGTCTGATGTGGTGAACTACATGTGTCACTTCTATAGTCTGATGTGGTGAACTACATGTGTCACTTCTATAGTCTGATGTGGTGAACTACATGTGTCACTTCTATAGTCTGATGTGGTGAACTACATGTGTCACTTCTATAGTCTGATGTGGTGAACTACATGTGTCACTTCTATAGTCTGATGTGGTGAACTACATGTGTCACTTCTATAGTCTGATGTGGTGAACTACATGTGTCACTTCTATAGTCTGATGTGGTGAACTACATGTGTCACTTCTATAGTCTGATGTGGTGAACTACATGTGTCACTTCTATAGTCTGATGTGGTGAACTACATGTGTCACTTCTATAGTCTGATGTGGTGAACTACATGTGTCACTTCTATAGTCTGATGTGGTGAACTACATGTGTCACTTCTATAGTCTGATGTGGTGAACTACATGTGTCACTTCTATAGTCTGATGTGGTGAACTACATGTGTCACTTCTATAGTCTGATGTGGTGAACTACATGTGTCACTTCTATAGTCTGATGTGGTGAACTACATGTGTCACTTCTATAGTCTGATGTGGTGAACTACATGTGTCACTTCTATAGTCTGATGTGGTGAACTACATGTGTCACTTCTATAGTCTGATGTGGTGAACTACATGTGTCACTTCTATAGTCTGATGTGGTGAACTACATGTGTCACTTCTATAGTCTGATGTGGTGAACTACATGTGTCACTTCTATAGTCTGATGTGGTGAACTACATGTGTCACTTCTATAGTCTGATGTGGTGAACTACATGTGTCACTTCTATAGTCTGATGTGGTGAACTACATGTGTCACTTCTATAGTCTGATGTGGTGAACTACATGTGTCACTTCTATAGTCTGATGTGGTGAACTACATGTGTCACTTCTATAGTCTGATGTGGTGAACTACATGTGTCACTTCTATAGTCTGATGTGGTGAACTACATGTGTCACTTCTATAGTCTGATGTGGTGAACTACATGTGTCACTTCTATAGTCTGATGTGGTGAACTACATGTGTCACTTCTATAGTCTGATGTGGTGAACTACATGTGTCACTTCTATAGTCTGATGTGGTGAACTACATGTGTCACTTCTATAGTCTGATGTGGTGAACTACATGTGTCACTTCTATAGTCTGATGTGGTGAACTACATGTGTCACTTCTATAGTCTGATGTGGTGAACTACATGTGTCACTTCTATAGTCTGATGTGGTGAACTACATGTGTCACTTCTATAGTCTGATGTGGTGAACTACATGTGTCACTTCTATAGTCTGATGTGGTGAACTACATGTGTCACTTCTATAGTCTGATGTGGTGAACTACATGTGTCACTTCTATAGTCTGATGTGGTGAACTACATGTGTCACTTCTATAGTCTGATGTGGTGAACTACATGTGTCACTTCTATAGTCTGATGTGGTGAACTACATGTGTCACTTCTATAGTCTGATGTGGTGAACTACATGTGTCACTTCTATAGTCTGATGTGGTGAACTACATGTGTCACTTCTATAGTCTGATGTGGAGAACTTAGGTCAGTTGGCTGTACTCATGTCATGACACCAAAGTTTACAGAAATCTTAAACACAAAGCCAAAATCATACAGTTATACAGTAATGTTACACACAAATATGAGAACTTCGTAACAGGTATTTTGTTTGGTAATGAACAAGACCTACTTTGTTAGGTACGTTGCTCCAAGGTACACAAACAGAGCCAGCGTTGGGTCTGTAACCTACTTTGTTTGGTACGTTTGCTCTGAGGTACACAGACAGAGCCAGTGTTGGGTCTGTTACTTACTTTGTTTGGTACGTTTGCTCTGAGGTACACAAACAGAGCCAGCGTTGGGTCTGTTACTTACTTTGTTTGGTACGTTTGCTCTGAGGTACACAGACAGAGCCAGCGTTGGGTCTGTAGCCTTGACTAGATCGCCGAGCTCTTCACTACATTCCAACTTGAACACAAAAATGGAAGAGCTGTTTAATGGTTAATATTATACATTCTTTTTTTCCTTAATGTGAACAGGCTTTATTTCACACAATCAATTTTTTGGCCTTCAGCATTTTTCATTAAATAAGGTAGTGAATCCTAAAATAAATAATTAAAGATGGATTTTAAATACAATTTCAGATGTACAGATATCATAAAGTTTAACTCTACTAATATCAGCATTTTTTCATCTAACAGCTATGAGTTATACAAGGCATAGTACTGTGAGTAATCCTTAGTTCTGAACAACCTTCAGTTTCACTTAAAAGTCAAAAGGAAATGAGAGGTTGTGAGATAGTGCATATTGAAATTCATAAGTGAATTAGACATGTCTGCACAACAAGGCAATCTGTAATGCATACACCCAAGAAAATTATCAAACTAGGTAAGTGTTGTGTGGAATTGTTTTCGTAATTTTCATTTTGTTACTGATGACGCACATGCAAAAAGATACCAAGTCGGCCGACATGGTATAGAAGTTGGAATGTTGTATGCCTGGAGAATTCTGTCTGCCAATATAGTTTATTTTAAATTATATTTATGGTCCATGTAAATTGTATTTAAAGCCATGTCTAATGAAGTCTAACCTTTAATGTGTTGACTCATTGACCGACCATGATATTACTAACTATTTTAATGTGGTGGCCCACATGTACAGACAGACAAGTATGTGGTTGTCTGCATGGCCTACCCACCTTCTCTTCCTTCAGCCACTTTTCCAGCAGCTGTTTACGACCCTGCTGTAACACTGGGCGGCACAGCTCAAGAGATTCATACTTGTTGAGCTGACCTTTGTCTAGCAGGATTCCAAAATACTGGAGGAGTGGAGAAGTTTGACCTGTGGTTGCCGGCACCTGCTGGAATCGCTGTATGGTCTGGGGTGTCCGTAGTATACCCTACCGGAACATCAAAGTATAAGTTTAGTGACCATGACATTCAGGTAATATTGTAAATGCTTGCTTTTTCAATGATGGTACACACAAAAACACTACCAAGTGATCATTTTTCATGATTTTATGTTTGTTATATGGTAAGCTTCTCTAAAATGAAAATTGATTTCACAGAATCAGTTTCTACAATCCTGGCAACAAAAACCCTTAATCATAGATTGGTGTGTCTCCATTAAGCTAAAATAAAGAAATAATTGATACAATTTTAAATCCATGTTCGTAGGATATCCTGATCAACCTATGAACAGTGGTGTTCTTTGGGTACCAGTGTTTAGTACACCATCAGCTGTGCTGGTTACCTTTGGGTACCAATGTTTAGTACACCATCAGCTGTGCTAGTTACCTTTGGGGCGCCTGCGGCTACCTTGGCAGCCTCTGCATAGTTGCCACTCTGGAAGAGGTTGTTGAATTTACGGACAAAGAGATCTTCTGCACCAGGTAGGTTGCCCCGGGATGCGACCTTGAGAGCAAGGTCAGGGTTCTGCAGTGTGGTTGTCAAGTATTGGACAATGTTATCTTCTTCCACACTCACCGACAATACCTACAACAGTAAACTTCCTTATAAACTATCAATCGCCGACAATACCCACAACAGTAAACTTCCTTATAAACTATCCATCGCCCACAATACCCACAACAGTAAACTTCCTTATAAACGATCAATCGCCGACAATACCCACAACAGTAAACTTCCTTATAAACTATCACTAATACAGTGACTTCCCTTGTTACACACTGTGTGTTACACAAATATATCTTCCCAAGACCTTTGTCATTTATCTGTCAGAATTATATGGCATCAGAAGGAAGCTTAAACTTGCATGATGACTCTGATTTTTCCTGAATTCCTTGACTACTAATATAGATGTTTATATCTATATTTGAAGTATTGTTGAGCTTCAATATGAAGTATTGTTATATATAGAAAGGGAGTCAAAACAGCTCCCTCAAATAAATAAAGGATCGCCATACCATTACCAAACAAGTATTGGAAACTTGTTAACAAGCATAGTAATAACTCATTTCTGAAAAGAAACCCACACTCTGTGGGAAAATGTGCCCGGGCTGGATTGGGATTTGAACCCTGGACCGTTGACCGTACTACAGTAGCTCTAACCATAGTTGGTTTATATCAAATACAAAACTAAGGAGTGCTTACTGTATCAAAAACAACCACGGAACTCTCCACTGATTTCTCTACAGTGGGACAGAGTTCCTTACAGATGAGTCGACAATAAAAATGATCAAAGTTACATACCTGTCCTTTTCTGTTGACCCCGATGATTCCTGACGAAGCTTCGTGAGGGGCAGTGACAAAGATGGTGTCGCCACTGATGCGGTTCATGTAGATACAGGTACCAGTCTCAATGTCATACATATGGATGTAGCCATACTTTGTGATGAGGAAAGTTACGCTGTGTTTGGGACTCACCTAGGCAAAAGAATGAAGTGCTTCCTTATTGAATCTCCTTTCCTGAAGAGTTCACACTAAGATAACCATTTTTGACAAACTGCTTCAGAAGAATTAAGACTTTATACACCAAATCGATTTTGAAATGGCTGTCGTACTGAAAGTTTAAAAACACTTCCAAGATGACTGCCATGGTGCTCATATAGGACTTCAAATCGGTCCCAAACTGATAACAATTGGTCAGGACCACATGCTGATCACTTCCACTAATTTCGGAAAAAAACCTTGTGTTGGATTTTAATTTAAATTTGAAAAAGCTTTTATTGTATTTCCAACCGGCTTCAATATAACAAGAACTGGTCAAGTCAAGTCCACACGTTTATTCCCACAAAGATTTGGCAAAATAGCTCCTGAGCCTGAGGAATTTGAGTTTCAAATAGAATAAACCAAAATACATTAACCTCTACCATGGTGGCCATATTGGCTGTCAAAATGGTTCCAAAATAACAAGAATAGGTCAGGAACATAACGTGATCATGCCAAAACAGTTTTAGCAAAATTTCATCAGTTGAAATTCAAAATAAATTTTCAAAATGGCTGCCATAGCAGCCTTATTGGATTTCAAATTGGCTCCAAATAACAAGAATTGGTCAGGACCATGTGCAGGTCATTCCAACTAAGTTTTAGTAAAATCGCTTCAGTTGAAATAAGAGTTAATTCCAAACAGGTTTCAAAATTGCTGCCATAATGGATGACAAATTTCAAATCAGATAGCAATTGCACATGTATATTTTCTTTATTGTGAACAAAAAATAGAATATAATACAAAAAATCTTACAGGTTTTGTATAACTTATCATTTGTTTGTGAAGAATAGACTTTTAAAAGAAAATAATGAGAACCGGTCCAGGACTTAACTGGAGAGAACAGGGAGATCACATACCTGCATGGCAACGGGGAAATCATTCTGTGCTTCGGGTGGGAAGAAAACATCCACTGCCTTCTTCGTAAAAGGCTGGTTTCCCTGAGGTGGCTGGCCTACCTCAATCACATGAAGCTAAAAAGCAAAGAAATGATCCGAGATAGCCTTATTTGGTATACCCTTCACATATATGTATTATGGATTTTTTTAAAAACAATATATCTATGATTCAGGCTCTCAATTTCCAGCCAGTACCTCAAATGATGACAGAACCCTGTACCTCTAATGATGACGATGAGAGTAAATTACCTCCTACCTTTCCCCCCAGTACCTCTAATGATGAGAGTAAATTACCTCCTACCTTTCCCCCCTGTACCTCTAATGATGAGAGTAAATTACTTCCTACCTTTCCACCTTGTGCCTCTAATGATGAGAGTAAATTACTTCCTACCTTTCCCCCCTGTACCTCTACTGATGAGAGTAAATTACTTCCTACCTTTCCACCTTGTGCCTCTAATGATGAGAGTAAATTACTTCCTACCTTTCCACCTTGTGCCCCTCTGACAGCGAACATGAATAGTGTGGAAGGGTTGGAGTTGCCTTCTAGTTTGAAGGTGGCAAAGGCTGCTGCATGTCCCTCTATAGGCTGGCTGACTTTTCTTTCAACAGAATACAGCTGCATTGCACCCACAACACGGTTTTGCTGAAAAGACAAATATCTCTTTGATGATAAGTCTCCCACAGAACAAAATGAAACCTTAAAATACAGCCACACCCTAATTCAATCTGAATTATTTATCACAGTCTAAAAACTTGTGCTATCTTTTTACAGTAAAATGTTGCATTCAATTTCTGTAAGTTTTTCCCAAAACTGTCAAGATAGAATAATATATCCCTAGCTGGAAAACCTTCACCAAAGCTGAACCTGTGTATAACGAGCAGTCTTGCAGGACTTGCAGCGTCAAACTTTAAAGCATGGCCTCTGGACTGTTAGTTTCAATTTTTAAGCACAGCGTGCTGAACTGTTAGATACAAAGGTTTTGTAAGCCACTGCTTTTTAAGTGTAAATGATAATTTACTGTCAAATAACATATTTTCCATAGGGAATTTCAGCTGTATTTTCATGAAAAATAATTTCATATTTTCTATTTTACATGTTGCTCTTTGAACATGTGAGTAATTTTGTAATAGCAAAGTTGTATTATGTGTGATATTTCTCAGTAAAAATGATACTTAGAACAGGATTACAAGTACCTTTGAAAACAGGATGAAAAAAAATCAGTTCATAAACCACATTACAACGATCACCCAGTTGATACAATGGCATGCATAACAAACAAACATGTCTCTTACAGGGAAAATTGTAAACGGACGTCTTTCATCTGTTCTTTTTAGGGGGTTAATTTCTCTTCCATTATCATATATGGCAATTAGGTTTTCCAAATTAGACCAAAAAAATCATCCTGATACACAAAAAAGCTACTTACGTAACTTAGAAAATCCTAACATGAAAGTTATTTTTTACAGGGAATACTGTGATAATTATCTACATTCAAGGCATATCTACTGAAAAAATTATGCCTTTTCTAAACTAGGTACTTTGCCAATATTCCACCCTGGCCAAAATGTACTCATAGACAATTTACCAATCCCAACTTTCTTTCTAACTGATCTGTGTTTCGTCGGTGTAGTGAAGAGAGATTTTGGGTTACTTATGTGTGGCATGGGAATGACTGGGCATATAAATGCATACATTTGGGTATACAATGGTAGTGAGAGTGCAGGCTACATGGCAGACCGGAAAATGTCTGAAAGCATTTGCTTGGCCCTATACACATCATGGTAGAGTTAAGTAACATCTGAACACTTTCTAATTTCTGTAACAGTAATAAAACTCCCTATTACTGTTATCCCTTCATTCTTTTACAGCCTGTAGTTTTTTCTAGAGTGTGATCAGTGTTAAACCATTTTTTGGCAAATGAACATACATTTCATGGTTTGTTTTGATGGAAAACATCTACATTTAATAAGACTAAGAACTGCAAAATGGGTAATGTCAATGACAGCTATGAGTGGGTGTCTGTCTGATAGTGTGGAGGAATGACTAGACTACAGGGGGCGCCACTGATGCTCACTACAGGGGGCGCCACTGATGCTCACATTGTCAACCTTTACCTAGCAATGGACCCACCACTAGGATTGCTGTGAAGTACTCAATTATGTTAACTTTGTTCAAATGTAAGTAAATACGTTAGCCACCATAGAAGTGCAGGAGTGGAAAACATGTTTTATTGAGGTTTGTAGGAAAGCAAAAGCATTCATACAAATGTACAGACATTACACACTCATTTGATAATAGTGCAATTTTCATTCACAAATTTTGCAACTTTTTCATGCATTTCAAAATAAATATTATTTAAGTTATGAGAAGTCTAGGTGTGGAGCGACAACCCTGATATGACTGGGGAGTTGACAATGTGAAGTGAATGGGAGTGGCAGCCCGGTGTCAGACATTATACTTACTGCTGCTTCAGCCCCCGTCTGAAAATGTCAATAAGTGTTATCAATACATGAGGAAGAAATCTCAGGAACACGCTCCGCCTAAAACACCACTATCACTACACTGAGGTAATTTTTTTTACTGCCAATGGACATTTTCAGTTAGGACCAAAACTATGTAAGCTCCGTCTAAAACGTCACTAAGTATGCTCTGTCTAAAACACACCTTCATCACTATGTATGCCATCTTCGTTTTCTAATCAGTCTCAAAATTCAATATACATAATTAGGAACCATTGGAATCCTCCAATACTTTCCCACATATAAACAAAATATCCCTAATTGTTGTGCATAATCCTTAAGGACCATTGATCCCTACATGTGAAACTTGAGAAAGATCCCTCCAGTTCTTTCTATGGAACAACAGTAACAAGAACAGTTAAAGCATGAACATGTGATGGACAAAAGGATGACAGATCACGGATGAGGAGCCATCTGGTCAGCCTTACCTGTAATACAGATCTTGACAAGTGATATGCACATGTTCACATTCTTTGGGGCTGAAACTCATTTGGCCTGATTTAACGTTGATGGACATTATCATTTAGCTGAAGTAGGCAGAGCATTTTATGGCGATACTTAAAAATTCCTGAAAATCTACATATTGATATTTTTAATCTCTCAAAGAAGTTAACTCACTAGACAACAAAGACCTACACTGTAAGAATATTTGATACGTGACCTTTGATCCCCTGTTACCAACCAATGTAATACTAATATGTTATCATTTTGGTCACTTCAAGCCTGCAGATGTCTACCAGATACATATACAACTGAATCAAGCCATCAAATAAAACTTGTCTTTCTGGGACCTACAGTCCACGTTCCTTCACATTACTGAAACCTCTGTCTAAGTCCATAACACCTGCAGGGTTATCCAGTGACATCATGTCCCAATCTTAGCACTGACATAATCCTAGATTTCAAATTTAGTCTGCACTTGGTAAACTTTTACCAAAGGTCATAGAATAATTATATCTAAACATTAGTTTTAATTTGACCAGGAGATCGCCAAGTTCTATACTGAGGTGTATAGCAAAAGTTCTTCATTACTGTATGTATACATAGACAACTGTCCACCTATTTGTTTTCATTACCTCTTGTATACATACATGCGAGTAGGGTTAATCCTGACTCAACCTGTTCTTTCCCGACAACATAGATCAATGCTGAGATAAAAATAAATAACTTTTCCTCTGTATCGGTACACATAGGGAGGGATTAAGCAGAATGAAAACCACATATATGATTTAAAACATGTGACCCAGTCAATCTGGCAGAAAAGCTGCGTGACTTTGTGATGTTTTAGACATTGTGTGTTCCAGTAGCCTTTTCCTCTGTAATTACTTTAGAACAAACATGCTGATCTAACTAAATTTTTACTTCTTTTTTAAATCTGAGAGTTAAAAGAGATACTTCTAGTTTTGGAAATTTTAAAAAGCATTATTGACATTTTGAAAATGCTATCAGGGTAAGGTAATATAACAACAGACACATTTGTTGAGATAGGTTTAGTAGCATATTGGATTGTCACAGCGTCAAGAAGTTGACAACCGGACTGTCAAGGTTCAACGCCCATTACAGGACATAAGTAAACAACACCGGTCTGTCAAGGTTCCACGCCCACTACAGGACATAAGTTAACAACACAAGTCTGTCAGGGTTCCACGACCACGTCCAATTTGGATAGACTGCAGACATACATCTCAGCCATATCCCATTCCCTACCAAGTCCGACATGTCCCAGATACTGTTTCACCTCTGTCACACATGCCCCCCCCCCCTCCGGTCTCCGGTGTCCTGGATGTTGTATCACCTCTGTCACAAATCATTTGACCTAAACATATGTTACCTGTGCTGAAATGCCAATGACAAGTAACCACTGCTGCTTGGCATCTGTCCTGTAGTTGATAATCTGACATCCAGCAAGATTGGTATGTCTGTCGAAGATCTTCTGAGGCTGCGAGTCGCCTAAAACAAAAGACACCCTACTAAAATCCTGTCATATTATGTTAAAAAAAAAAACACAGACAGAGGTACAGTCGAATCTGCTCAAGCAACCATCTGTATTAAACGACCATCTGTTTTATGCGACCACTTTTCATTCATCCCGACCATTTTTACTGTGTAATTTAACTGTATTTAAGCAACCATCTGTCTTACCAACCAGTGACCACCCAAAACCGGCCCCAAAAATATGTTAAACGATCACATTCATACATTTTAGCGACCATGTTTGAAGAAAATATACCAAACGGTCGTTGAAATAGTTGTGTAACTCCAAATTTGCGACCGTCACCACATTTGACAAAGGGCTTCTTTACAATCTTTTCACCAAGTTCAGTGAGCAAATTTGACAAAACCAATTTCCAAACTTACAACAAATTCATTGGTGTGCAGAAACAAATAAAAAGTCATTTTTTTAACTTCTGATATTGTTGATTTAGCAGTGAAATACAGACTGAAATTAATCGCAGTTGAGCAAAACCATTTTGATTGTGCGAGTGTCCTGCTAGGCATAACCTTTAACCCTACGATATCCTCCATCTGATTGGATAAAGTATACTGGCGGGTTTTCATTCTTGAAATCAGGTCTATTAAGAGATGTTCACAACAGCACTCACATGCGAAATTAACATTAAATATCAGCGCAACTGCGCCCGAAACCTGTTCATATCGTTTCTAATTCCTCATCTGTATTAAAAGCCTTTAATTACATCCCTGACCTTCTCAACGCCAAAGTACTAACGACAATAATACCGGTCCGTTTTTCGACAACATGCTGTCTGCTTTTCTCTTTCCAGTTTCCATCGTTAAATAAAGAAACAATACACGTAAACCCATCTGTTGGACCAACACAGGAACTGCTATCATTTCAACAACATCTTTCGTTACAAGTAAGTTAAATCATGGTAATTACCTAAAACACAGTCCGTCAATCGTTTGTTCGGAGTGAAATGACAATTCTTCTCAAACACTCTTAGTTGTTTGTTTACTGTCATAGGCCTAATTATCTTTCGACTATTGATTAGTAATTCACCTGATCTGTTGAACGATGTTGTTTTAAACTACCTGTACGAGCGCTTGGGGCGGTGGTCTGTTTACAGTTGTCTGAATAAGGAGTCGTTTGGTTATATAGTCAGCTGTGTAATTCTGTACAAAATTTGGTCATCAAACTTGATTAAACGACCACTTAATACAGCTTAATACAGATTCCACTGTAATAAGAATAGGGAAAACTTCATTTTAAGATTTACTGACACCAGATCACAAGTTTTGATGACTTTGACACAATGTACATACCTTCCATACTCCAATGGTAAACACAGGTTTCTGTTACCAGGGCAACGGTGTTTACGGAAATCCATTTCCAAAAGATGACATCATCTGTCATGGTATGTGACTTCATTTTGCTTTTCATCTCAATATTGAAGATTTGCAGAGTTTTTCCAGCTGTTGAATCAAAGTCATGCAAAGTTAACAAATCAATACAGCATATAAGTATATATCTCCTACGATTCATAGTAAGTTTCCATACCATCCCACAGACCATTTGTTAGAAAATGTATGTCTTTAACAGAATAACTCAAACAGCTGAAACAAAAGTAAGACCGTTCCATATTAGAAGTCCTATCTACACAGCAGTTGATATGATTAACATGACAGACAAATAGTCATATCTACACAGCAGTTGATATGATTAACATGACAGACAAATGTACTGGTAAAATGTTGAAAATTCATAATTCTCATACATAATTAATATTCAATGATTTTTGAATTAAAACAAAATATTATTTTAATGTCTGTACTCTGAATTAGAAATTAAAGACATACACTACCTTCAAAATGTTAACATGCATTTCTGTCCTAATACAATCCTTCACTCATTAGGACTGGGTTACATCAATTTGTCATCAACATTCAGGTGAATGTTAATTATTTGATAACTTTAATAAATCACAGTTAAATCAGGATTGAATGGCATTTTTTCAATTTCATGGTTTGAGTGCCAATCGTCTACATGTTTACAATGAAGACTGATGTATGTAGCCGATCAGCATTAATACCGACATGAATATTGGAAAAAACACTGTTCAATCCTTATATTTACATTCTAAATGTTTAGGTATTATTGACCCTATTTTGACTACATTTTCAATATTGAAGTGTCTGTATTGTCAGAGCAAACTGCCTTACCCCACCAAATTTTTGTTTTATTCTAACGGTGGTTTCATGTTAGGAGAAGCTCCAAAACGACGCTGATCAATTAGGTTCATAGCTCTATGAACTCAATATCTGGCAATGCTTAGAGGAACTTGTAGTGAAAATGTTCATATAGGAGAATACCTCAAACAAACCACAGGAATGTCAAGGAGAATACCTCAAACAAACCACAGGAATTGGAAGGAGAATACCTCAAACAAACCACAGGAATGGGAAGGAGAATACCTCAAACAAACAACAGGAATGGGAAGCATATAACCCTAAGGCACAGTACAAGATCCCCATGTGCCTCAGGGAACGTAACTGCTGTATAACATTATATTGGTGTTTCTTATTTCTTTTGTTGCTGAATGTTGTACCCTATACTCTGTGCTGCTCCTATTGTTGTTTGCTTTATCTGACTTCATCCTAAACCATTTCTTGACTGAACCACCCTTCGCAGACATACATGAATTTTCAGCCATAAGGTCACCGGAAGTAAATGCTTTTCTGTACTTCACTACCAAAGACTTCCGAAAGCATATAGCGACATCTGTCATGACGTCATTTGCATAGCAACCCTTACCAATCAATTTGATGATATTCAAAAACTAAAAATTTGCTAATTTTTTGGGGCAAGTCATTTTTATATCTATAACATTTTTATGATGCATGGCATTGCAGGTTTTTTGGCAACAGAGGGTTTTTTTTCACACCACAATATTTAATGGGCACATTGACTTTTCCGAAACGAACAAACTGATTTAATACTGCATGAACCCCACAAGGGTGCATTCTAACTAATTATAAGCAATGGATTTGTTTTGTTCATGGAAAGAGTTGATTTTTTTAAAAACTAAATAAATGTTCTTACTTTTAATTGAGAAAAACTGAATTCCCTTAAATTATTTCTTTTTACATTTTTTTTCAATAAAGTGATAATTATAGGGCTTAAATGTGCTGCCTGACCATCATTTTAAACAATTTAGTAAAACAAGTAGGCAACTTAACCATGAAATTTTCAAAATTCAAGAGAAATAAAATTTACAAACCTTTGAGAGCGATGACTTTGCTTGCAGGGTTCATTATAGCAGAGTCGGCCGAAATGGGACGGCGAATGGGATTGCTTGAGTCATTCATATCGATGATGACAACCTGGGCAGTGTCACTAACTTTCTCTCTGATACAAATGTACTTGTCTGACTCCATGGTGAGGGTACTGAACCCAATATTGGATGCATTGATTCCAACATTCTGGAGCTGAAACACAACAAAAACAAAATCAATTCTTGTTATACTTATAGAAATGACAATTTTAAAATGGGCAATTGCATTTAGAAAATTTCATCACCGATAAGAAGTATTCCTCCGGTTGATACATACGATTGTAATAATTGACGAAGTATGGGCAACAACGGGCTGTCGAGGCCCAGGCACTGTAACTCATTCTATTTTGTGACCAGACAATTTTTTGCCTCAAGTTAAAATCTTCAGCAAATGTTGATTGACAATAACTATCAATACTGAAATAGTATCATATCGGAGGCACAGTAGCTGTCTAGTGGTAGGCTCGTGACCGACAGGTTGCACGTTCTAGTCACGGCACGGCACGGCACTGTGTTGTATCTTTGAGCAAGATACTTTACTCAGCTTGTTCCAGTCTACCCAGCTGTAAATGAGTACATGGTTGGGCAGTGCTACAATTGTTGAATGCTTGCTGTGAGCGCCAAAATGGCTAGTTGCAAAAGGCCCTATTACCACGGATAATAATTTGTGAACCGCTTTGAGACGACATACGAACTAGGTTGTGATAAAGCGGTATATAAGAACTTTGAATTATTATTATTATCAATTATATCAATCGTGACCTTACACATGTATAATGCATGTACATCAATAGCTTTATTTTACCTCTGTATTGTTTAATTTTTAGAGCTTTTATTTTACAGTTTTCCTGAGTAGAACTATTTCACAGGGATAAAATCTCCCTAGTCAAAACTCAAACTTTAAGCCAAAGGCTAAATAATACCCCCTACTTCCATATAAACCAGAACTGTAAGCCGAAGGATAACCAAGGAAAATCATTGCAAAAAAGTCATTGTCTTCCACCAGTAACAATTTCTTTATTTACTGTGATGTACACTTATTAAAGTATAGAGGTCACTGACATACTTCCTGTACTTCCTTCCCTCCCCATGCCAAAACATGCAACTGTTTATATTCACTGTTGCTTGGTATTTAATTACGTTTAACATTAATGAAGTGATGAACAATGTAAACCATTAATGCTGCAGGAAACATAGATACGGACATGTAATTGTTTACTGATCTGTACAGTAATGGTAAAGTTAAAAACAAAACTGTGAAAGGAAAAGGAAATTAAAGACTGGAAACTTTGCACACACAGAGGCAAATGGGGATATACTTGGGTACTACACTGGACGTTGGCTTCAGGTCATGTCATTATCAACTACGCAAACTTTCGTTAAAAGATATATACTTTCAGAATTGGTTCGATATTCTGGTTGTCATTTGACTTTAAATCGTTCATACAGTGTATCTTATTTTGTTTATGTATGTTTGTAAATACTGTGGTCAACAGGTATATATGTAACAAGAGGCCCAAGAGGGCCTGTATCGCTCACCTGAATATTTAAGCAGTCATAGCAAAATATTCTCATTAAATATTATATTGCACTAAAAATATTTCCCTCGCAAACTTTGTTGGCTCCATCTGTTGAAACTACCAGTAAAATATTATTTTAAGATTCTATGCTTTTTGATTCTTCTTCAGAAGTTGCTTGACATATTTTTCCCTGTGATCTTGTAAGTAGGTCAATGTCATTTTCCTTCTCAAATTGGTTAGCTCTATTCCAAAAAGCTACCAGCCAAATCTTATGAATCCATTCCTTTTAGTTCTCAAGAACAAATCCATTAAAATGTTGTTGACCTCTGTGACCTCTAAAGTAGGTTGAGGTCATTTTCATT